AAAAAAAATAGATCAAGATAGTTATAAATTAAGATATAATGATAAAAAGCTTTCCTAAGGTTAGAAAGCTAATCAGTGATGGAGCCAAGGATGAAACACGATTAATACGACATGTCATTGTTCTCTGACACAACCGGCTCTCAGTCACAACAACAGCAGTAAAATTCGATGTCTTACCACAGGCCACCCTCAAAACTCTTTCCTTTAAAAAAAAATAACTCTTTCCTTTTCTCCTTATGGAGGGAAAAAAGGACAGATGCAAAGTTATTCACTTTACCTATGGAAAACTGGGACTGAGGTTAATATGTCATTTATCTACGAGCAGACAGACTTTCTGTGTTGTGAGCAAAAAGGTTAAATTTCTAGAAATTTTGAATTGTTGAGAAAAAAACTAAACAAAAATTGTAAGGAAAAAAGAAATCCATTAATGAGAGCTGAGATATATTTTTATTACTAGCTTAGGAACACAAAAAATGTATTACTTATTATTAGGTCTGCTCATTAAGTTACAGGAAATTTTGAATACACTCAGATCTGACAATATCGGATGTGTCAGTTTCTGCCACTTTAGAAGATGGAAGCCACCGCTTGAATACCAATAGTAATTCATTTCACATGTAAAGGAAAATTATACTATTGGGATTCCCTATTTTCCAGGATGAGAAGTAAGCCCAGAAAATACCAATTTTCAGAAAAGAGCCAAAAAGTGGCCTGAGTTTGGTGCCCGTCTCCAGCCACATGGCACCCGTTTCCTGAGCCTCACTTTCTGGGGTCTCCATTCCAGAGGCTTCTGCTTCTCCCATCCTTTGGTATCATCACTTCCAGGAATTTCTGAGAGTCAAATGTTTTTCCTGGGTTCAGTTGTGTCCAAGTCAGCTTTTGGTTGTGTCTTTTTTTCACTTGGCAGATTTCTAAGCACAGACTCATTTATTTTTTCATGTTAGGAATCAACAGCAGACAAGACGCACACATCAGAGGCCACTGGGCAACTGCCTGGTCCCTGGAGGATAGAAAGATTCCCCCTGGCAGTATCTTGGGTCCCTTGGAGAGTCTCAATGCTGCCTCACATGAAAACTCTTTTCAAATATCCACTTTGAAGAATCACTTGTTCTCTAATCCAAGGCAAGGCAAAAGCAAAATGCTATGGAATTCTTTTCTGAAACAGTTGCCACAGCATAAATTACTTAACGTTAGAATTATTCCCATGTATCATTACCTCCTTCTGAACTTGAAAGAAAATTCACCTCGATTCTCAATAACAGGCAACTTTTTACAAGATCATTTGCTGAGGAATGACTTTAAAGACTACCACTGAAGTTAGTTTACTCTTCATAGTTTGTGGCTTGAAAAAATAATTTGGAGAAAGTGAGTGCAAGATAAGAATATAGAGATCTTCAACTTAAATGTGTTATTGATCATGAACAACTTTTTCACACATTTTCCAGCCTCCCAAGATAATCTCCATGTCTTCTGATTCCTAGATCAGGACTCTTCACAAAATGCAAATAAGATGCTTAAAAATTAAGAATACACATAATCATACCTTCCTTGCGAGCAGCATGGCCATCTGAGACACTGCCATGTGGCCAAGAAGCAGCCACACCAGCCACTGCTTCCCCCATTCCATCCAGAAGCTCCATTCAAAGTCGGTTGGGTCCTAAATAGATCAAAACAGGAGTTTATCAGAGAGATTTGGGAACATGTCTGAGTCAGAACACAAACCCCAGTCAATAAAACAACCCAAAAGAAGGCCAATGTGAGTCCAGACTCTGTGAACTACCACGTATCCACTCTGAGTCTTGTCCCTACCCACCCTGGACTCTCCCCACCAGCTTGCTGGTCTCTTTGCCATTCCCCAAATGTACTTGTAATTTCTACCACTCAGTGTCTTTCTTAACGCTGATCCCCAGGCATCTTCCAACATAGAAACTATTATTATCTACATTTTGTAAAAGATAAAACAGAGGCTTAAGGAATTTGATTCATTTAGCCAAGGTCACATAGACAGTATAAGTCATAAACTGAGACTATCCCAGTTTAGACACCTAGATACTTTCACTAATAAATATAAATTGGAGACTAATAAAATTGCTTAAGGTCAATGATGTTAAATCTTGTCA